GGGGTGGGAAGGGGCGGCTATACTGTATCATGGACACTAGGGGGCAGCAGAGGGCGGGAAGGGGCGGCTATACTGTATCATGGGCACTAGGGGGCAGCAGAGGGCGGGGGCGGGAAAGGGCGGCTATACTGTATAATGGACACTAGGGGGCAGCAGAGGGTGGGGGTGGGAAGGGGCGGCTATGCTGTATCATGGGCACTGGGGCAGCAGCGGAACAGGGTCTGGGGGGACTGACAGTGCTGTGCAATGGGCCCGAGCTATATCGCTCCGTCGTAGTGCACAGGGAGCCCCCCATCACAGGCGATGCGGATGCGTTGGGTGCTGGTGCCCCCGTTGTAGTTGCAGGGCGGTCTCTGTGATCCCCCCTGCAGCCGGCAGGTGGTGAGGGCGAAGGAGGCTTTGCTGACTCGCAGGTTCCCACCTGCCGGGGTCCCCCCAGGGCCGCAGATGGTGGCGATGCTGGCAGCGCTGTCATGGATGAAGGTGTTGGTGAACTTGCAGACTGGCGAGGTCATGCCCCTGCGCTGCATCATCTGGTTGCAGTAGGTCCTGGCGTCCGGAGCGGCAGTCCTTGGGTAATCGACGTGCTGCCTCAAGAACTTCTCATAGCGCGTCTCCCCCCTGGCCAGAGCCAGGCACGCGGCCAGCAAGACCAGCAGCAGTGTTGGGTGGGGTCCCCTCTGGGCCATGATACCTCTGCTGCTGGCTCGCCCTGCAGTGGGGAGGAAATGGAGGAATGGACAAGGGGGAGGGGACCTGTTTGCACCATGGAACCTGCACCCACTCATCCCTTCCAGGCCTTCCGCCCCGCCGGGGAGCTCCTTGCAGATTGCAGGCTAAGGCTGGCAGGCAGGCAGTCGCTTCGTGCCAAACTCCAGAACCTTATTTGCAGAGCATTAAAGTTACCCAGAATTGCCTCATCCTCTGCCAGAACGTCAAATGCTCCTGAAACCGCTAATTAAAGAATTAAGTGGAGCACACCAGCTCCGCCCCACAACCATCACTCAAAGAGGGCAGAGTTAAGGGTACAGGGCTGGGCTGCATTTACTAGGTTCCAGAAATTTGAGGGCTTTCTTTCTTTCTTTCTTTCTTTCTTTCTTTCTTTCTTTCTTTTCCCATATCTATCTATCTATATATCTATCTAGCTGAAGACACCCTTCCCAGCAGCCTGGTTCTGTGATACTGCCCTTCTCCATGGATTAAGGCAGCTCTCTCTTTCTGCCACGTGGATTCTGATTGGCTAGTGGCCAGTGGAGAATAAGAGAAGAGGGATTCCCACATTAGACCAGCTTGAGGGTCCAGCTAGCTCAGTATCTCCTCCCAACCTGTGGCCAATACCACCTGCTTCAGAGGAAGACCTCTGCCCTCTCCTCTCTCTTCTCCCCCACCTCTCATAGACTTTACAGCCAGAAGGGACCATCATGATCTCTGCACATTGCAGTCTGACCTGCAGGCCACAGAACCTCACCCACCCACCCCTGTGATAGACCCCAAATTTCCAACTGAGTTACTGACGTCCTCAAATCATGGTTTAAAAACTTCAGGTTCCAGAGAATCCTCCATTTACACTAGTTTAACCCCTCAAGTGACCCATGCCCCATCCTCCTGCGGTTCTGACCTTGTCACAGACTCTCTGACCTTCTCAGCTCCCAGTGCCTTCGCCCGAGCCTGAGAGATGGACCCAGTCGCTCACAGAGCTGAGAGTTCCCTGAGCCTGCAGCTATCCAGGTTCTGTTATACAGCCACGGCCAGGTGGGGTTGGAGGAGCAGCACCTCTGGCTACGTGGCGGCACGGACCCAAGGCATCCGGGAGCAACAGGAAGAACCAGCTGGGTTGCAAACAATCTCATTCTTCCTGGCTTGGTCTCCGTGCCCTGACCCATGAGCTGGAACAAGTTGGAACTTCTCCAAGGTCCATGTGTGGATAAGGTCGTGGTCACACTGGACTCCCAGCTCCTCTGATCAACCCATGACACCTGGGTTCGTTCCATACAGCCTGGCAGCACCAGGTGTGCTTGGAGCTAGTTCAAGCCTTGCTATTCAGGGAGGAATGATTGGAGTATAAAAATATTTATCTTAAACAGGGAAATAATTAAGTTATCTGGCAGCTCTCAAGCCACTTCCTTAACAAATTCAGAAAGCCAGGAGTGACCTCTCCAAAGATTGTTGAGAAAACTCCATATGTTTACAGCCTGTCCAAGTATCATTTAAGTTTTAAAAGTCTTTAAAAAAAAGAAAGCTGAAATACTTTTAAATGGAAAAGAGGAAACTGAGTTTCAACTCCTGGTAAAAATGGCAGGGTAGCTCAGGTGATGAAATGAATACAAGACAGAGTTACAACTTTCACTTGAAAGAAGTTCTGAACATTTCCTGCTCCAGAGACAAAAGCCACATAGCCGTCAAGTTGGAGAAGATGTACTGTTGCTAACACATTAGCAGGTTTAATAGATTCATAGATTCCCATGCCAGAAGGGACCATTGTGATCATCTAGTCTGTGACAGGGTGTGCATACCCCGCACTAGGCAGGAGAGGGTTAATCCCACACTTTGGGCAGACGAAGTCCCACCCCTCTGACCATGCTGGGCATGCTCCAACAGCTGTGCTAGTATAAAGAAGAGCAGCCCAGCTCAGTCTGGACTGACTGCTGAGGAGGAAGGATGCTTGGTGGAGGCTCTAGCCCAGGAGCCATTACAGCTCTTACATGCGGGAGCTGGAGATCGTGAGATTTAGACGGGACACCTGTTGCCTACAGATGATTGGCAGGTGTTGGAATCCCAGGGAGTAACCTGCATCAAGGAACCCTGACACCACATGGATGAGAGCTGCAGGAAGTAGTCCAGGGAAGTGGAGTGAGTAGTATTTGCTGCCCATGGAAGGTCAGCGTGTTGCAGTTGAATTCCCCACTGACCCAGTGGTGGACCACTCTGCCACTATTAGGGCCCTAGGTCAAGAAGTGGTGGAGTCAGGTGGGCCCAGGTCCTGCTATCCTGCCTGCCACACCCATTCTGGTAGAAGCCCCCCAGATCTGGCCACTAGACCACGCTGCCCTGCACTCGAGGGCTGCTGTGTTGACTCTGGCCACTAGGCCATGCTGCCCTACACTCGAGGGCTGCTGTATTGTCTCTGGACATTGGGCCGCACTGTTGTGAGGCCCAGAACAGTCTGATAGACTGTAACCACGGTGTCACCACACCCACGATACACCCCACAGGGGGACGGGGTGTGCAAACACAGCCACATAGTCTGCCCTCTTGTAGAACATAGGCCAGAGGACTTCCCCAAATAGTTCGTAGAGCAGATCTTATACAAAAACATCCAGGCTTGATTTAACAATTGTCAGTAATGGAGAATCCACCACGACCCTTGGTGAATTGTTCCAATGACTAAATACACCTCCTTTGCCTCTGCATCACCATCTCAGAACTGCCCCTGGAACCCCTGGAGATTCACAGGTCTGTAGGGAAAACCCAAAGTTTGGCACTTGGACCCCCATCTCTGAAGAGAGTGGAACCTAAATCCACACTCCCCGCTGCTGCAAAGTCTCTTCGAATCATAGAATCATAGAATATCAGGGTTGGAAGGGACCTCAGGAGGTCATCTAGTCCAACCCTCCGCTCAAAAGCGGGACCAATCCCCAATTAAATCATCCCAGCCAGGGCTTTGTCAAGCCTGACCTTAAAAACTTCTAAGGAAGGAAATTCCACCACCTCCCTAGGCAACGCATTCCAGTGTTTCACCACCCTCCTAGTGAAAGTTTTTCCTAATATCCAACCTAAACCTCCCCCACTGCAACTTGAGACCATTACTCCTTGTCCTGTCCTCTTCTACCACTGAGAATAGTCTAGATTCTAGTCTAGAATCCCGGCTGCTCAGCCCTTTCCCCTCCCAGACGCCAGCGGAATTCTCCACTGGCTCAACCAACCTGGCTCACTGTCCAGTTTTTTATCCCATGTGGAAGGATCTGGGTGCAACAGGGTGTGGAAGCATGTCCAGGACTGTGGGAGAGAACTGAGCTGGGAGTCCCAGCTCCCTGAGTCAATGAGTACCCCAAGGGCTTACTCTCCACTGATTCCCGAGTAGACCAAATGGATCCTGCTGCTCTTGGCACAGACAATATTTCCCCACGTGCCAGGAGATGATAGCAAACAGCTGCTCCTGTAGCTTGGAGACTAGATTGCTAAACAAAGGGCTGTGGGTTGAAATCTCACTGCAGGATTTCCCCAAGGCATTTCATGCTGAGTGCTCTTGTTACACTTCCTGACTTTCCCCTAGGACACACAGATCCCCATAAACACAGACCACAGCCCTTTCTAGCAAAGTGCTTTATTGGAGGAAGCAGCAAGAGACTGAAACTCAGGAAAGGAAATTCCAGGATTCAGATCGATACATCTCTCTGATTATTTATTAATTGTAGTGGGTTAGTGCCTAGACGACCTGGTCACTGACCATGGCCCAAGTTCTGAACAAGCACAGAACAAAAAAGATGCGCCCACCCCCGAATAACTGATACGATTTGAATGACAGTACCACTTAGAGACCTCAACTGAAACAGAGGCATGTTTGTGGTCTAGTTATGGTACAGACACAAGATGAGAGCCAATCCGTGCCACAAGGAGCTTCCATGCTAAAGAGACTTGATGGACAACATATGGGGAAACTGAGGCACAGAGACTTCAAGTGATTTGTGCAGAGTCACAGAATTGGGTCAGAGGAAGAATAAAAAATAAGACTCAGGTATCCTGAGTCCCAGGTTTGTCCTTGAGCCACTGTACCAGCAGCACATAAAGGATGGGGAAGGGGTGGCTATACTGTATAATGAGCACTAGGGGGCAGCAGAGCGTGGGGGTGGGGAAGGGGCGGCTATACTGTATAATGAGCACTAGGGGGCAGCAGAGTGTGGGGGTGGGGAAGGGGCGGCTTACTGTATAATGAGCACTGGGGGCAGCAGAGTGTGGGGGTGGGGAAGGGGCGGCTATCTGTATAATGAGCACTAGGGGGAGCAGAGTGTGGGGGTGGGGAAGGGGCGGCTATACTGTATAATGAGCACTAGGGGGCAGCAGAGTGTGGGGGTGGGGAAGGGGGGCTATACTGTATAATGAGCACTAGGGGGAGCAGAGTGTGGGGGTGGGGAAGGGGCGGCTATACTGTATAATGAGCACTAGGGGGCAGCAGAGTGTGGGGGTGGGGAAGGGGCGGCTATACTGTATAATGAGCACTAGGGGGCAGCAGAGTGTGGGGGTGGGGAAGGGGCGGCTATACTGTATAATGAGCACTAGGGGGCAGCAGAGCGTTGGGGTGGGGAAGGGGCGGCTATACTGTATAATGAGCACTAGGGGGCAGCAGAGCGTTGGGGTGGGGAAGGGGGGCTATACTGTATAATGAGCACTAGGGGGCAGCAGAGCGTGGGGGTGGGGAAGGGGCGGCTATACTGTATAATGAGCACTAGGGGGCAGCAGAGCGTGGGGGTGGGGAAGGGGCGGCTATAGTGTCGAGTGGGCAGTGGGGCAGAAGAGGGTGCGGGTGGGGTAGGGATCTAAGGGATTTAAGCTGCTGAACTCCCAGTCGCACCAGCGAGGGACCTGGCCCCATTGGGTCCTAATTTCTTTAAACTCAGATGAAATTGCCAACCTCACTGTCCCTCCCCCCTCTCGCCTCCTTGCCCCTAGAGCTGTGTTTTATAGTGCACGGGCAGCCCTCCCACGCATGCCACGCGGATCCGCTGGGTGCTGGTTCTCCCGCGGTAGTTGCAGGGGGGTCTCTGAGCGCCCCCTGCCACCCGGCAGGTGGTGATCTCAAAGGGCGCGTTGCTGTCGTAGTAATTCTCGGTGCTGGGGGTGCCCCCTGAGCTACAGACGCCGTCCACCTCGGCTGGCCCCGCGTGGATGAAGGTGTTGGTGGGTTTGCAGGCATCAGCTGTCAGGTTCCTCCGCGGCATCAGGAGGTTGCAGTAGCGCCGGGCGTCCGGGGCGCTGGTCTTCGGGAAGTCCACGTGCTGCCGGTGGAATTTCTCGTGGCGCGTCTCCCTCCGGCCCAGAGCCAGCCAGGCGGGCAGCAAAACCAGCAGCAGCAGCAATGCTGGGCGGGGTTCCTTCAGAGCCATGGCTGTCTGGGGGGGGAAGCATGGGCAGAGGTGGAGGTCTAGTGGATGAGAGCAGGGCGGGCTGGGAGCCAGGACTCCTGGGTTCTCTCCCCAGCTCTGCGAGGAGAGTGGGGGCTGGTGGGTTAGATCGGAGGGACTCCGGGGTTGTATGCCTGCCTTGGGGAGGAGAGGGGTCTACTGGTTAGAGCAGGGGGAGCAGGGAGCCAGGACTCCTGGGTTCTCTCCCTAGCTTTGGGAAGGGAGTGAGTTCTAGTCAGATTGCAGGGCAAGGCGGGGAGTTAGGAGCCCTGGATCTGGGGCGACTGCTCTCTTTCACCCCTAGTTTCCTCAGGTGTACAATGGAGCTAAACCCATTGACCCCAGCTGGGGATCTGCCCCCACCAATTTTAAGCTTCAACTCATGGAGCTGTTTCTTCTCCACACAGTGAATATTACGTGACAGGCCTTTTGGATCCGTGTTTCACTCTTTAGACCTGTTCCATATTACTCTATTTAGCACACTTCCTACGGATCATCTACAATACGAGGTTCCCTGAGCCTTCTTGCCTAAATACACTGGTCAGCTTAGGCCCCGATCTTCAACTCACCCCAGTCCTGATGCCTCGGTTTCCCTTGGAGTATGGATCAGCTGCCTGCAAAGTGTCTGAGGCTCCGTACTTTCTGGGTGGGTGTTATATACCGAGCCTGGCTGGAGAGAAAGACACTGCGGGGGCAGCTGCACTCAGAGAAATATCCTACTGGCCAGCGTTGCACAATCCGTGACCCTGGGAAACACTGAGGCACCAGCCCAGGGGGAAGCTGAATAAACAATGCTGCTAATGAGGGTCAAATTCTTCTGTCTGTTACATGGGAATCTGGCTTTGGCGCTGTGTAATGGTCTCCTACTGCAGCCACCTCTAGGGTGGAGCCTGGAAAATGGGGAACAGCTGCCCAGGTCAGGGCTGGAGGTGAAGATATCCTCTTGACAACACGGCAGGAATTTGCGGAGGGGTAATGTTCTGCCCTGAGCTGGGAGCTAGCCAGGACACTGGGCTTTGTCTAGGGGATTTGGGAGCCCCAATCTCATTCATTTTAATAGGAATTGGGGCTCCAAATCCCTGTAGCAGCTTTGGAAATAGCCTGAATCACCGTTCTTCAGTTTCCCCACTGGCCAAATCCCATGGCAAGGATACTCTCAGCTTGAATGGCCGCAAACAGAGACGAAGGCCTACCGGAAATGCAGCATAGCACCTCTCCGGGGCATTGAGGTCAGTGCTGATTGTGCAGGGAGAGCTCCCCCTACTGAGTCACTTGCACCATACAGTCCAATATTTGGTTGTCCCATCATGACACCGATCCAGACTGCACCTGGCCTGTCGTAAAAACCAACTCAGCAGAGGAGAGATCATCAGCCCGCTCTGAACCCCTGGGAAAAGTTCACAGGGAAGAAATGTTTGGAAATGTGGCTATTTGCGAGGCCCTCTGGCAATGTGGGCTCGTCCCCCGGCCAAGTGAGGCCCCACCGGGAAATCAGTGTTTTGAGAAAGCAGAGATAATTAATTCCAAACTTCCCAGAGCTGGGACTTGCTTTCTGCGGAGAATCCTGGGAAATGGAAGGAACACAGTCCAGCCGCCAGTGCGGCGATTAATGGTGGGGTCATAGCAGGACTCTGAGTCCCTCCTAAGACACTGGATCTGGGGGGGTTGGTCTGTGTGGGGAGTGTGGGTCCCACTTGGGAGGTGAAGGGATCCGGGGTGGGCCGGCCCGGTGACACAGAACAGCTGTGCCTAGAGAATGGAGGGGGACAACGGGTCTCTAGCAGCTGAGACATAGCTGGCCATGTGGCAGAGCTGTGTCCAACTGGGGCTTTGTCTGGTTGCTTATAACAGGGCTACCCATTCCCCTGAGTCCCCGAGCCAGTCACGGGCAGAGGATTGGCGAAGGGGGGAGTGGGTGCCAGAGGGAAGGGCAGGGGTTCACTCCAGTGCCATGAGGCTGTATTGTCACAGTGAGGTGCTGTGTAGTTAATGCTGCTCAGGGGTCTGTCCGAGATGGGTACGGGGCCCCAAGGGAGGGATCAGGGCAGTACCAGGGTGGCGGGACAGCTCCTGAAAAAAAGGGCCAGGCCGGTGGTCCAGAGTGTCCTGGCACCACATGAGCACTGGTAGGGATACATGCTGTGTATGGGGGCTCTAATCAGTAGGGGGCAGTCTCCTCTGGCAGTCAGTGCTGACCCCCATGCCCCAGCATGGCATTAGTGGGTGCTGTGCTGCAGGGAGGGAGATCATTAGAAGGCGCTCTCCCCTGGCGGTCAGTCCTGGCCCAAATGCAGGGTTAGGGGGCACTGTGCTGCAGGGATTAGGGCAGGGGGCTCAGTAGGGGGTGCTGTCCCCTGGCAGTCAGTGCTGGCCCCAGTGCAGTGTTAGGGGCCTGTGCTGCGGGGAGTGGGCAGGGGGGATCAGTGGGGGGTGCTGTCCCCTGGCAGTCAGATCTGGCCCCAATGCCCCAGCATGGCACTAGGGGGAGCTGTGCTGCAGGGAGTGGGCAGGGGGATCAGTGGGGGGTGCTGTCCCCTGGCAGTCAGATCTGGCCCCAGTGCCCCAGCATGGCACTAAGGGGTGCTTGTGCTACAGGCAGTGGGGCAGGGCCTCAGTAGGGCGCGTTCTCCTGTGGCAATCAGTGCTGGCCCCAATGCACTAGGGGGCGCTATGTTGCAGGGAGCGGGGTTGGGGGCTCAGTAGGGGGAGCTCCCCACTCACATTCACTGCTGGCATTACTGACCAGGTCCACTTGCCATCCCCCTCCACTCTAACCACGTGGCATATCCCTCCGTGGCACATGCCAACTCCCAGGGGTGGGCACAATCCCCCCACCCCCCGGTGCCTTATATAATTCCTCATCCTTTGTCTCCCACTTTGCTGTGACTTGGCTATAGTGGGCGGGTTCTCCTCTGCCTGGCTCCTTGGGCTGGGGTACCAGCCACATGTGTGTCCGCGATGCAGAATTGCTTTAGGGTGTGATGGCACCCAGCATGGGGGGTGCTGTGGGGGCAGTGGGTGCAGAAGGGGAGTCGCAGGAGCAGGAGGGGCTGAAATGGGGGGAATGTGGCAGAGAACCACAGGAGAAGGGCTTGGGGGGTGTGTGAGGGACTCCAGGGTGGGGGGAACTGAGTCTGATGTCTCAGCACGTTGGTATCTTCAATGAAATCCGTGAAATCTCCAAGAGTTTCCTCTGCCCATGGCCCAGAGTCGAGTGCGCATGGTGGGGCAGCACCTGGCAGGGGAGGGGTGAATGACCCTAGGAGCCCTGGCTCTGTGCTCAGGGGTTAACACCCAGGGCTGCTAAACCAGGGGTTGGAAATTCAACTCTCCAAGGAGCCCTGTGTCGCCCTTCAGTGAATTTGTCTAGTCCATGTTGCCCTCCACCCAGAACTGGCAACAATCCCAGCCATGCCCGTGCCCTTGGCACCATGCTTTGCAGATACAGAGCATGTGACATTGCAGATCATGCTTCCAGGGTCTCCCTCTGTAAGTGGCCTCCCCACTGGGAGAGGGAAATATAGGCTGAGCTGGGGTGGGGGGGGAAATAGCTCCCCAACCTTCAAAGGGCGATCTCAAGCCAATCGCCCGCTGTGGGGCTGGATTGTAGCTGGTGCCCCCTGAGCCAGCCAGTGCCCCCTGATCTGGGGCTGGATTGGAGCCAGCGCCCCCTAGAAGGGAAAGACCCTGTGTCCCATTCCCTGCCAGCCAGTCCCCTGGCCTGTGGCCAGATCAGAGGTTGGGCCCCCTAAATAACCCCACGACAATCCAGCCGTGCTCTCTGAAGGTCATTGGGGCAGCTGTTCACCCCGTGCCAAGTGCCCCACAAACAGGCGCCAGGCCGTTCTGCGTTGGCAGCATTGTATTGCTAGTGGCAGCCAGAGAATCGAACTCCCCAACAGCATCACCCAATGCCACCACAGAAATAACCTCCCCTTCCGCTTTCCCCTTCAGCTCAGGTCACAGCCTCATCTTATACCCACATGAGAGATGTCAGAGCCAGGGACGAGACCCCAAGCGCCTCCCAGTTCTGCCCTAGCTCCGGCCTAGCAAATCTCATTGCCTGGGGAGCTCCGGGGGGAAGGGAGGACAACGGAACAGGTGTTAACCTCTCCCACAGTGCCCCCCATTTCTACCCGGACCAGCAGCCCCCTTCCCATCTTAGTCCTGTGGTGTCTGGCCACACAAGGCTCAGCTGGTTCCACATCCCCCAGTGACAGGGCCAGATCCAGTCATGCAGATTTAGACAAATCCAAGGGGGTTGTGGGAATTTTGATCATATTTGGGGGGCTAAAACTGGCCCCTCAATGAAATGGGTCTGAGGTTTCAGAGCTGCTCGGCCTCTTCCACTCCTGGTGGGTTCGGGGCAGCTCCAGCCCAAGTCCAGGCCAGTTGTGTTTGGATCCTGCCCAGTGAGGTGGGTCCTGGGCTCAGACTGAGGGTCTCTGTGCCAGCTGAGGGGGCTGGCACCCGGATCTTCATTTGTGTGGATGGAGACTGGGCACCCAGCGTGGGAAATCCCCCCCCGCAGGCCCCAAGCTGCTGACCTGTGGGATAAGGGGAGGCACTGAATGTCCCTGTGGAGACCCATGGCGGGCGTTGCCCAGGAGGGGCAGGTAAGGGCAGGTATGGGGACAGGGAGCCCCCAGCAACAGAGGGCTGCTCAGGATCAAAGCGGGGGTGGGGGGAAGAAGGGGGATCCCTGCTCCCCGCTCATGGCAGGTACGTTGGCTGTAAGTGCACAGGCAGCCCCTTGGCACAGGCCACGCGGATCTTGGTGTTGCCGATTGCAGCCCTGTATCTACAGTGCCCCGGACGGGAGCGGGGCAGCGCCCGGCACGTGGTGACGTTGAAGGACTCCAGGCTGTCGTAGAGGTTGAGGCTAACGTGTGTCCCTCCATGGGCACAGATGGCCTGGAGCTGGCCAGCGGGGGCATGGATGAAGGTGTTGCGGAGCTTGCAGAAGACGCGGGTCAGGCCCCGGCTCTGCATCATGCGATTGCAGTAGATCCGGTCGTTGGCAGCCCTGGTCTTGGGGCTGTCGAAGTGTCGGATCACGAACTGCCGGTAGCTGGCACCTTTGCTGAGCTGGGCAAGGCTGGCAGCCAGCAGGACCAGGGTCAGGAAGAGCAAGGGGCGGGGTCCCTTCAGGGCCATGGCCGTGTCTGTCACTGGATCGACCTGCAGTAGGTAGTGGAGGGAGATGAATGGAGAGAGCGCTGGGTGGGGATCTGCCTCCTCCATGGAACCACCTGGGCCGAAACCTCACCCCCTGCCAGTCCATTCTACCCTTAAAGCCTCATTAACCTGACCAAGATCAGGGCCCACATTGTGCCAAGCACTGCACATATCCAGAGAAAAACTCTTACAGTCTAAATGGGCAAAGCACACCAAGAAAGGGTTGTTCTTCCCATGTTACAGATGGGGAAACCGAGGCACAGAATGGTTAAGGCTCAGTTTTGCAGCTCTAATTTGGAGGCTTGGGTCCCAGGGGTGTACATGAGGGTTTGGCCTCAAGACTCCTTTAAGGGGTTTGAAAATCCCATCCTAAGACACAGAGAATGAAACCCAGGTCCCCTAAACCCCAGTGGGAAGCCTTGGCCACAACCCCAGCCTGCCACTAACTCTCTGCTTTACCTGTTTGTCCACAGTGCATCCTTCGTCCGCACTCCCAGCTCTCCCACTTCTGCGACCCTAGATCCTACTCCTCTCCCAGAGTGGGAGAGAGAACCCAGGAGTCCTGGCTCCCAGCCTCCCACTTCTAACCACTAGACCCCACTGCCCCAGGAGAGATTCAAAGGAGTGCTGACTCTGGATCTCACCTCCTCGTTCTTTTACCGTCTTGCCAAGATTGTGATCTCAGCTGCCTGGGGGTCAATCCAGAGTCACCCCTGCGTACAGTGAGATCAAGGCCGGATTCTGTGCCCAGCCCCTCTGGGGTCAATCTGCAATGACCCTCCCTCTGCATTTCCCCCCGGCTGGGTCTGTTCTCAGCTCACCCAATTCCTGGGGCTCCCGTCAGAGATGGATCCAGCTGCCAGCAGAGCTGAGAGTTTCTGAGTCTCCTTCCCCTTCGGGTGTCATTATATAGAGCACGGCCAATCAGCTGTGGGTGGGATGGGGCAGCTCCTCCCACCCAGGGCCCCAGAGATTCTGGGTGTGGCATGGAGTTAGGGGGGAAGTGGGCACAGGGCAGGGTCCTGAGACACTGTGAACCCCACAGCCACAGTGCCTGGTGCATCTCCCCCTGTTATCCTCAGCCCAACTCCAAACTGTGGAGAGAACCCAGGAGTCCTGACTCCCAAACCCCCTGTTCTAACCCACTAGCTGCCACTCCCCTCCCCGAACCAAGTTAGAACCCAGGATTCCTGGCTCCCAGCCTCTCTAACCACACAGTCCTGGTGCCCTGTTACAGGTTTTGCCCCTAATTGGGTGCCCTGGATACCCCATAACCACAACCCCCAGCCCTGGCCAGTCCCTGGGAGCTGCAGAGCCAGCACTTGGGTGCCCTCGATACCCGCTAACCAAAACCCCCATCCCTGGCCAGGTCCCTGGATAGGGTTCCCAACTTTCTAATTGCACAAAACCGAACACCCTGCCCCACCCCCTGCCCCAGCACTTCCCTGAGGCCCTGCCCGCCTTCTACAAGGCCCCACCCCCAACTCATACCTTTCCCCCTCCCTCCATCGCTGACTCTCCCCCACCCTCACTCACTTTCACCAGGCTGGGGCAGGGGGTTGGGGTACAGGGGGAGCATGAGGGCTCTGGCTGTGGGTGCGGACTCTGGGTGGGGCCAGAAATGAAGGGTTCAGGGTGCGGGAGAGGGCTCTGGGCTGGGGCAGGGGGTTGGGATGCGGGGGGGGGGTGATGGCTCTGGCTGAGGGTGCTGGCTCTGGGGTGGGGCTGGAGATGAGGGACTTGGGGTGCAGGACGGGGCTCCGGGCTGGGGCAGGGGGTTGGCATGCAGGGGGGGCGAGGGCTCCAGCTGGGAATGAGGGCTCCGGGGTGGAGCCGGGGTTGGGGAGTGGAGGGTCCGGGGTGCAGGCTCTGGGAGGGAGTTTGAGTACAGGTGGGGACTCCGGGCAGGGGGGTGGGGTCCGGGGTCCGGCGGCACTTACCACAGCTCCCAGGAAGCACCCACCTGGTCTCTGTGGCCCCTAGGCGCAGGGAGGCTCCGTCCAGGAGCTGCCCTCACACCTGCAGGCGCTGCTCCCACAGCTCCCACTGGTCACAGTTCCTGGCCAATGGGAGCTGCAGAGCCGGCACTCGGGTGGGGGCAGCGCGCGGAGCCTCCCTGCACCTAGGGGCTGCAGGGACCTGGCGGCCGCTTCCTGGAACCATGAGGAGCCAGGGCATGCAGGGAGCCTGGCACCCGCCTTAGGCCCGGGCCCCTGCTGTGCCACTGACCGCACTTTTAACGGCCCAGTCCGCCAGGGTCCCTTTTCGACCGGGTGTTCCAGTCGAAAACAGGACAACTGGCAGTCCTAGCCCTGGGCGTCGCAAGGGGCAGCGACCCAGCCAGGGGAGGGACAGGCCTGGCTGCTGGAAATGCCCGTGCCCAGCAGAGCCAGTGGGAGCCGGGGCCTGGCTCCCCCAGTGCCACCTGAGCCCCAGGGCCTGAGGGAAGGGTGAGGGCATGTAGAGGGGGGGGACTGGCTGCCAGCACCAGCCTGGCCTTGGAGCTTGGAGTCATCTCTCCTGGGTCTGGGGCCTGCCCACTGCTGGTGAGGGCTGGGAGCCAGGACTCCTGGGGTCTATCCCAGCTCTGGGTGGGCAGTGGGGTCTCGTGTGTGTTTGGGAGGTTATGAGACAATGTCCCTTTGGGGTCACCTGCTCATCGCCCTCTGTGCTGTCACAGCGGCTGCCAGCCCTGCTACAGCGAAGGTTAAGGCCAGCTCCCCGTTCAAACCTCAGCTCTCTTAAGTGCTCTAAAATCCACACAGGTACTTGGTGTGGGCCCCTGGGGACGGGGGGAAGCTGGGGTGACTGACCCAAACTTAGGGTCTTTTGAGGAAGGGGTTCCTCATCCCTGAACAAAACAGCCTGGCTTAAAGTGCCTGGATTGCCCAACTTGGTGCGGAGCTGGGGCTCAAACCCAGACCATGACCATAACCCTAGGGTCTCGGGGCCCCCAAACCCACAGAGCAGGCCACACACTAGCCCTTTGTGGGGACAAAACTGAGAATGGTACGAGACAGAGAGTTTGAATCTCATGACAGGCAACGAACACACCTAACGCTCATGCCCCAGACGGATCACACGGAACGTGCAGAGAGGGCTGAGCTAGCCAGCCCTGCCATGCGCTGGCTGGGCCCAGGAGCAGGCTGGGCTGGGCTGGGCTGGGCTGGCTGGGCCCAGGGGGATCCGGTGCAGGTAGGCTGGGCTGGCTGGGCCCAGGGGGATCAGGGCCCAGGAGGGATCTGTCTCCACTGGCACCAGCTATGGGGGTCCTGCCAGGCCCCTCTGTGCCAGATCCTGTCCCAATCACCCTGCAGTGTCTCAAGGTGCTCATGGGCTCGGGGCTTTGACACCCCCCAGTCCCCTGGCCAGCCCAGATCTGGCCCAACAGGGCTGACCACGACCCTGTCAGCCTGGACCGGCCCCCTCCCAATCTGCACTGCCCAGCCCGCTGGCATGCTGGGTGTCGATTGATGGTTTGGCCGTTGCTGGATCCCTCCCTGTGGTCTGGGGCAGGCTGCTCTCCCTGGGACTCGGGGGAGGGGGGCAAAACCCTGCATGTACAGAGGAAGTTTCAAAACCTGGGATGGGGCAACGGGCTAACGGGTGGTGACTCCATAGGCCGGTGGGATGTGCCAACGGCTGCTCGTTCCCCGCTGTTAACGGCAGAGCCCTGCTCCCACGTGGAGTGTCGTTGTGGTGTTGGGAGCGGGGCAGAGGAGGGAATGATGCCAGGTTAACAATGTGATGCAGTGGCAGGAAAGGCTGGTGTCCTCCTGGGGTGGATTACCAGAAGTGTCATTTGGAAGACACGGGAAGGAATTTTCCTGCTCTACTCGGAATTAGTGAGGTCCCACTTGGGGTCCTGTGCCCAGTTCTGAGCACCAAACTTTAGGAAAGATGTGGACAAACTGAAGATAGTCCAGAGGAGAGCAACACAAATGATCAAAGGGTTAGAAAACCTGACCTGTGAGGAAAGGTTAAAAACTAGGCAGGTTTAGTCCTGAGAAAAGAAGACTGAGGGGGAGCTGAGAACAGCTTTCAAATCTGTGCAGGGCTGTTCTGGAGGAGACAGACATCCATCATTCTCCGTTTCCAGTGGGGACGGGACAAGAAATAATGGCCTGAGTCTGAAGCCAGGGAGATGTAGGTTGGATATTAGGAAAAAGTTTCTAATGCTCAGAGTGGTGAAGCTCTGGACCAGGCTCCCAAGGGGGGTAGGGGTTTGGTATCACTGGATAACCCCCTGTCAGGGCTGGTCTAGGGTTACTTGGTCCTATCTCTGCACAGGGGTCTGGGCTTGATGCTCTCTCACGGTCACTTCCAGCCCCACATTTCTGTGCTTCTATGGCTGCTCTGCTTGCCCTGCTGTTTGGGGGAGCTGCAGGGCAGTGGGTGAAGGGGGAAGGGGTAGGAGATGCCAGCTGTGCCTCCGTGCTGTAAACCCCTTGGGGACAGAGCCTTGTAGATGGTCATGAGTCCCAAGGAAACATCGAGCCCCATACAGACTTTGGCTACAACTAGATGAGCCATTCACTGGAAAACCTCAGATGAAACCTCTTTGCTCCCGGATCCCCCTCCCTGACACACACCCACAGCTAGCCAGGCCCTGCAGAGCTGGGCCCAGACTGTACCTGGTGCTCCAGAAATAAACATTTCCTGTGCCCCATTCCCCAGCGGCCACTGAGCAGCCCAATCTGGGGCCACGCTGGAGCCCGTAACCCATGGGGACTGGTGCCCCCTTGTGGGGAATGGCCCTGTACTGCATTCCCCGTCCTATTCCCTCACCTGCATCTGGACTGGAGCCAGATTCCCCTAAAGAGAAGAGGCCCCGGAATCCAGTCCCCAAACCCCTGAGTGAGCCAGGACCCCTGATCTGGGATTTGATCATGGTCACTGCACCGCAATGAGTCATATCTGCTCCTTCACTCATCCCTTTAAATAACTTAGCCATGTTCCCAAAATAGCCCGAGGGTTTGAGATCTCCAGATGCAGTGACTCTGCCCCAGCCCCCCAAACACACCGACTTGTTCTGCATTGGCAGGAAAGTGTTTTATTGCAAGAAGCAGCAAGGAAACAAAACTCAGGGACAGCTTCCAGGGCCCCGCCTGGGACAATCTTCTCCCCACAACCTGCCCCCAATACTTAGTAGATGCGGGATGGGAGTGGGGTGGCTGTACAGTATAATGGGCAGTAGGGCAGCAGAGGGTGGGGGTGGGGAAGGGGCGGCTGTACTGTATCATGTGCACTGGGGCAGCAGAGGGTGGGGGTGGGGAAGGGGGGGCTATACTGTATCATGGGCACTAGGGGGCAGCAGGGGGCGGGAAGGGGCGGCTATACTGTATCATGGGCACTAGGGGGCAGCAGAGGGCAGGGGCGGGAAGGGGTGGCTATACTGTATAATGGACACTAGGGGGCAGCAGAGGGTGGAGGTGGGAAGGGGCGGCTATGCTGTATCATGGGCACTGGGGGGCAGCAGAGGGTGGGGGTGGGAAGGGGCGGCTATACTGTATCATGGGCACTAGGGGGCAGCAGAGGGCGGGGGCGGGAAGGGGCGGCTATACTGTATCATGGGCACTAGGGGGCAGCAGGGGGCGGGAAGGGGCGGCTATACTGTATCATGGGCACTAGGGGGCAGCAGAGGGCAGGGGCGGGAAGGGGCGGCTATACTGTATAATGGACACTAGGGGGCAGCAGAGGGCGGGGGCGGGAAAGGGCGGCTATACTGTATAATGGGCACTAGGGGGCAGCAGAGGGTGGGGTGGGAAGGGGCGGCTATACTGTATCATGAGCACCAGGGGGCAGCAGAGGGGAAGGGGCGGCTATACTGTATAATGGGCACTAGGGGGCAGCAGAGGGCAGGGGCGGGAAGGGGCGGCTATACTGTATAATGGACACTAGGGGGCAGCAGAGGGCGGGGGCGGGAAAGGGCGGCTATACTGTATAATGGACACTAGGGGGCAGCAGAGGGTGGGGGTGGGAAGGGGCGGCTATACTGTATCATGGGCACAGGGGGCAGCAGAGGGCGGGGGCGGGAAAGGGCGGCTATACTGTATAATGGACACTAGGGGGCAGCAGAGGGTGGGGGTGGGAAGGGGCGGCTATGCTGTATCATGGGCACTGGGGCAGCAGCGGAACAGGGTCTGGGGGGACTGACAGTGCTGTGCAATGGGCCCGAGCTATATCGCTCCATCGTAGTGCACAGGGAGCCCCCCATCACAGGCGATGCGGATGCGTTGGGTCCTGGTGCCCCCGTTGTAGTTGCAGGGCGGTCTCTGTGATCCCCCCTGCAGCCGGCAGGTGGTGAGGGCGAAGGAGGCTTTGCTGTCTCGCTGGTTCCCACCTGCCGGGGTCCCCCCAGAGCCGCAGATGGTGGTGATGCTGGCAGTGCTGTCATGGATGAAGGTGTTGGTGAACTTGCAGACTGGCGAGGTCATGCCCCTTCGCTGCATCATCTGGTTGCAGTAGGTCCTGGCGTCCGGAGCGGCAGTCCTTGGGTAATCGACGTGCTGCCTCAAGAACTTCTCATAGCGCGTCTCCCCCCTGGCCAGAGCCAGGCACGTGGCCAGCCAAGACCAGCAGCAGTGTTGGGTGGGGTCCCCTCTGGGCCATGATACCTCTGCTGCTGGCTCGCCCTGCAGTGGGGAGGAAATGGAGGAATGGATAAGGGGGAGGGGACCTGTTTGCACCATGTGACCTGCACCTACTCATCCCCTGCACAGCAATGGGGCATATAAGTGGCAAACAGCAGAGAGGCTAACAGAGGGAGTTTTCCTTAGAGCTGGCCCGGGGAGTGCCCACAGAGGCTTACATCTTGCCGGCTTCTCTGAGTAGTTATTACAACTCCTGAGGAAGCTCGTAGAAGGAAGGTAATATGGATGGGGAACGTTCAGCTGTTGTGACCTGCACTGGATGTGCCATGTTTGTCTTTCTTCCACAGGACAGAAGCGACTTTATCTGTACAAAGTGCAAGCTGGTCTCCATACTGGAAGTGAAGGTTCGAGGTCTGGAGAAACAAGTGTCGACCCTGTGTTGCAAAAGAGAAACTGAAGATTTCCTGGATGGACGTCAGGATATGCTTCTATGGGCACAATGTTCTGAAGATTCAGAGCAGGCTGTGCAGCGGGGAGAGGATAATGGTGAAGAAATCTGGCAGCATGTGACCTCCAGAAGAAGAAAGGGGAGTGTCCATGTACCAGCAGATACAGGTAAACAACCATTTTCATGTTCTCTCTACAGGTACTAATGCGGAGAATGGACTAGATGATACATCTGAGGGAAGGGAACAGAAGGAGACTCTGCCAATTGGAAGGCATTCACCAAGGACAAGTCATGCCTGACTAATCTAATTGCCTTCTAGGACGAGATAACTGGCTCTGTGGATGAGGGGAAAGCTGTGGACATGTTGTTCCTTGACTTTAGCAAAGCTTTTGACACGGTCTCCCACAGTATTCTTGCCAGTAAGTTAAAGAAGTATGGGTTGGATGAATGGACTATAAGGTGGATAGAAAGTTGGCTAGATTGTTGGGCTCAACGGGTAGTGATCAATGGCTCCATGTCTAGTTGGCAGCCGGTATCAAGTGGAGTGCCCCAAGGGTCGGTCCTGGGGCTGGTTTTGTTCAATATCTTCATTAATGATCTGGAGGATGGCGTGGATTGCACCCTCAGCAGGTTTGCAGATGACACTAAACTGGGAGGAGAGGTAGATACGCTGGAGGACAGGGATAGGATACAGAGGGCCCTAGACAAATTAGAGGAATGGGCCAAAAGGAATCTGATGAGGTTCAACAAGGAGAAGTGCAGAGTCCTGTAATTAGGACAGAAGAATCCCATGCACAGATTAGGGACCGAATGGCTAGGCAACAGTTCTGCAGAAAAGGACCTAGGGTTACAGTGGACGAGAAGCTGGATATAAGTCAACAGTGTGCCGTTGTTGCCAAGAAGGCCAATAGCATTTTGGGATTGTGACGAAGCGGGACTGTTCTTAATGTTTCCTCTGAATATTGTGGTGTTGCCTCAGTTTCTCCTAGGCAGTTCTTAAGTATCTAGGTGGTGGGATAAGGGTGTATGATCATTGCAGAGCCCTAGAGGGCAGGTGTGTGCAGGGGTCTGGACACAGAATGGCCGACACCCTGTTTCCTGGCAACTGATGGCCTTGGCCCTTCCCCCCTGCAAGATAAGAGCTAAAGGGTTGGAGAACAAAAGACTCAGGTGACCTCCTGGCCTGGGAAAGGGACAAAGCCCGGGGGAGGGGGGGGGGGCTGGAGAGAGTTTCAGTTTGGGGCTGGCTGGGGAGGAGGAGTGAAGTGCAGACGTGATTCTCTGGCTCACAGCCCCCCAAAATGGACCCAGCTGAGGGGTCCTGTTCTCTGCACCTACAAGCTCTGTGTTAGGCCATGTTCCTGTCATCTAATAAACCTCTGTTTTACTGGCTGTCTCAGAGTCACGTCTGACTGCGGAGTTGGGACCCTCTGGCTTCCCCAAGACCCTGCCTGGGCGGACTCGCTGTGGGAATAGCACGAAGGGGCAGAGGATGCTGAATGCTCTGAGGTCAGACCCAGGAAGGTGGAAGCTGTGTGAGCTGTATGTCCTGAAGACAGGCTGCTCACAGAAAGGAGACTTCCCCAGAGTCCTGACTGGCTTCATGGGGAGCAGTTCCAGAGCATCACCCGGGGACTCCTTGACAGGGATGTATAACTAGGGGCATTGCCAACAGATCGAGGGACGTGATCATTCCCCTCTATTCAACATTGGGGAGGACTCATCTGAAGTACTGTGTCCAGTTTTGGGCCCCACACTACAAGAAGGATGTGGAAAAACTGGAAAACATCCAGCGGAAGGCAACAAAAATTATTAGGGGACTGGAACAGATGACTTACGAGGAGAGGTGAGGGAACTGGGATTGTTTAGTCTGCAGAAGAGAAGAATGAGGGGGCATTTGATAGCTGCTTTCAACTACCTGAAAGGGGGTTCCCCTAGATTGTTCTCGAGTGGTAGCGGATGACAAAACGAGGAGTAATGGTCTCAACTTGCAGTGGGGAAGTTTAGGTTGGATATTAGGAAAAACTTTTTCACTAGGAGGGTGGTGAAACACTGGAATGCATTTTTAAGGTCAGGCTTGACAAAGCCCTGGCTGGGATGATTTAGTTGGGGATTGGTCCTGCTTTGAGCAGGGGGTTGGTCTAGATGACTTACTGAGGTCCCTTCCAACCCTGATATTCCATGATTCCATGTCTGCTCCTTCATTCATCCCTTTAAATAACTTAGCCAAGTTCCCAAATAGGCCGAGGGTTTGAGATCTCCAGATGCAGTGACTTTGCCCTAGCCCCCCAAACACACCGACTCGTTCTGCATTGGCAGGAAAGTGTTTTATTGCAAGAAGCAGCAAGGAAACAAAACTCAGGGACAGCTTCCAGGGCCCCGCCTGGGACAATCTTCTCCCCACAACCTGCCCCCAATACTTAGTAGATGCGGGATGGGAGGGGGGTGGCTGTACTGTATAATCGGCACTAGGGGCAGCAGAGGCTGGGGGAGGGGAAGGGGGCAGCTATACTGTATAATAGGCACTAGGGGCAGCAGAGGGCGGGGGTGGGAAGGGGCGGCTATACTGTATAATGGGCACTAGGGGCAGCAGAGGGCGGGGGTGGGGAAGGGGAGCTATACTGTATCATGGGCACTAGGGGGCAGCAGAGGGGGGGTGGGGAAGGGGTGGCTGTACTGTACCATGGGCACTAGGGGGCAGTAGAGGGTGGGGGTGGGGAAGGGGGGGCTATACTGTATCATGGGCACTAGGGGGCAGCAGAGGGCGGGGGCGGGAAGGGGTGGCTATACTGTATCATGGGCACTAGGGGGCAGCAGAGGGCGGGGGCGGGAAGGGGCGGCTATACTGTATAATGGACACTAGGGGGCAGCAGAGGGTGGGGGTGGGAAGGGGCGGCTATACTGTATCATGGGCACTAGGGGGCAGCAGAGGGCAGGGGCGGGAAGGGGCGGCTATACTGTATAATGGGCACTAGGGGGCAGCAGAGGGTGGGGGTGGGAAGGGGCAGCTATACTGTATCATGGGCACTAGGGGGCAGCAGAGGGCAGGGGCGGGAAGGGGCGGCTATACTGTATAATGGGCACTAGGGGGCAGCAGAGGGCGGGGGCGGGAAGGGGTGGCTATACTGTATCATGGGCACTAGGGGGCAGCAGAGGGCGGGGGCGGGAAGGGGCGGCTATACTGTATAATGGACACTAGGGGGCAGCAGAGGGTGGGGGTGGGAAGGGGCGGCTATGCTGTATCATGGGCACTGGGGCAGCAGCGGAACAGGGTCTGGGGGGACTGACAGTGCTGTGCAATGGGCCCGAGCTATATCGCTCCATCGTAGTGCACAGGGAGCCCCCCAGCACAGGCGATGCGGATGCGTTGGGTGCTGGTGCCCCCGTTGTAGTTGCAGGGCGGTCTCTGTGATCCCCCCTGCAGCCGGCAGGTGGTGAGGTCGAAGTAGGCTTTGCTGACTCGCAGGTTCCCACCTGCCGGGGTCCCCCCAGAGCCGCAGATGGTGGTGATGCTGGCAGCGCTGTCATCGATGAAGGTGTTGGTGAACTTGCAGACTGGCGAGGTCATGCCCCTGCGCTGCATCATCTGGTTGCAGTAGGTCCTGGTGTCCGGGGCGGCAGTCTTTGGGTAATCGACGTGCTGCCTCAAGAACTTCTCATAGCGCGTCTCCCCCATGGCCAGAGCCAGGCACGCGGCCAGCAAGACCAGCAGCAGTGTTGGGTGGGGTCCCCTCTGGGCCATGATACCTCTGCTGCTGGCTCGCCCTGCAGTGGGGAGGAAATGGGGGAATGGACAAGGGGGAGGGGACCTGTTTGCTCCATGGGATCTGCACCCACTCATCACCTCCAGGCCCCCCGCACCGCCGGGGAGCTCCTTGTAGATTGCAGGCTAAGGCTGCCAGGCAGGCAGTCGCTTCTTGCCAAACTCCAAAATGTCATTTAAAGTTACCCGGAATTGCCTCAGCCTCTGCCAGAACGTCAAATGCTCCTGAAACCGCTAATTAAAGAATTAAGTGGAGCACACCAGCTCCGCCCCACAACCATCACTCAAAGAGGGCAGAGTTAAAGGTACAGGGCTGGGCTGCATTTACTAGGTTCCAGAGATTTGAGGGCTTTTCTTTCTTTCTCTCTTTCTTTCCCCATATCTATCTATCTCTGTGCCTAGCTGAAGACACCCTTCCCAGCAGCCCAGGTGTGTGATATTGCCCTTCTCCATGGATTAAGCCAGCTCTCTCTTTTTGTCACGTGGATTCTGGTTGGCTAGTGGCCAGTGAGAAACTCTTACAGTCTAATTGGGCAGCGCACACCGAGAAAGGGTTGTTCTTCCCTTGTTACAGATGGGGAAACAGAGGCACAGAATGGTTAAGGCTCAGCTTTTCAGCTCCCATTTGGTGACTTGGGTCCCACGGGGGTACATGAGGACCCCTTTAGGGGGTTTGAAAAATCCCATCCTAAGACAAAGAGAATGAAACCCAGGTTTCCTAAACCCCAGTGGGGAGCCTTGGCCACGACCCCAGCCTGCCACGAACTCTCTGCTTTATCTGTTTGTCCACAGTGCGTCCTTCGTCCGCATTCCCAGCTCTCCCCCTTCTGCGACCCTAGATCCTGCTCCTCTCCCAGAGCGGGGGAGAGAACTCAGAAGTCCTGGCTCCCAGCCCCCCTTGTTCCAATCCACTAGACCCCACTACCCCTGCCGAGCCAGTAGAAAACCCAGGAGTCCTGGCTCCCAGCCTCCCGTTTCTAACCACTAGACCCCACTGCCCCAGGAGAGATCCCAGGAGTGCTGACTCTGGATCTCACCTCCTCTTTCTTTTACCCTCTTGCCAAGATTGTGATCTCAGCTGCCTGGGGGTCAATCCTGAGTCACCCCTGAGTGCAGTGGGATCAGGGCCGGATTCTGTGCCCAGCCCCTCTGGGGTCAATCCGCAGTGACCCTCCCTCTGCATTTTCCCCCTGGCTGTGTCTGTTCTCAGCTCACCCAACTCCTGGGGCTTCCGTCAGAGATGGATCCAGCTGCCAGCAGAGCTGAGAGTCTCTAAGTCTCCTTCCCCTTCGGGTGTCATTATATAGAGCACGGCCAGTCAGCTGTGGGTGGGATGGGGCAGCTCCTCCCACCCAGGACCTCAGAGATTCTGGGTGTGGCAGGGAGTTAGGGGAGAAGTGGGCACAGGGCAGGGTCCTGAGACACTGTGAACCCCACAGCCACAGTGCCTGGTGCATCTCTCCCTGTTATCCTCAGCCCAACTCTATCCCCAAGCTGTGGAGAGAACTCAGAAGTCCTGACTCCCAAACCCCCTGTTCTAACCCACTAGCCGCCACTCCCCTCCCCGAGCCAAGTTAGAACCCAGGATTCCTGGCTCCCAGCCTCTCTAACCACACAGTCCTGGTGCCCTGTTCCAGGTTTTGCCCCTAATTGGGTGCCCTGGATACCCCATAACCACAACCCCCAGACCTGGCAAGTCCCTCTGTGCGTTCCCTGCCCAGGTCCCAGGGTAGGGTTGCCAACTTTCTAACTGCACAAAACCGAACACCCTGCCACACCCCTCACCCCCTGCTCCAGCCCTTCTCTGAGGTCCTGCCCCCCTTCTACAAGGTCCCACCCCCGACTCGTACCTTTCCCCCTCCCTCCATCGCTGACTCTCCCCCACCCTCACTCACTTTCACCAGGCTGGGGCAGAGGGTTGGGGTACAGGGGGAGCATGAGGGCTCTGGCTGTGGGTGCGGACTCTGGATGGGGCCAGAAATGAAGGGTTCAGGGTGTGGGAGAGGGCTCTGGGCTGGGGAAGGGGGTTGGGATGCGGGGGGGGGGTGAAGGCTCTGGCTGAGGGTGCTGGCTCTGGGGTGGGGCTGGAGATGAGGGACTTGGGGTGCAGGATGGGGCTCCGGGCTGGGGCAGGGGGTTGGTATGCAGGGGGGGCGAGGGCTCCAGCTGGGGGTGAGGGCTCCGGGGTGGAGCCGGGGTTGGGGAGTGGAGGGTCCGGGGTGCAGGCTCTGGGAGGGAGTTTGAGTACAGGTGGGGACTCCGGGCAGGGGGATGGGGTACGGGGTCCAGCGGCACTTATCACAGCTCCCAGGAAGCACCCACCAGGTCTCTGTGGCCCCTAGGCGCAGGGAGGCTCCGTCCAGGAGCTGCCCTCGTACCTGCAGGCGCTGCTCCCACAGCTCCCACTGGTCACAGTTCCTGGCCAATGGGAGCTGCAGAGCCGGCACTCAGGGTGGGGGCAGCGCGCGGAGCCTCCCTGCACCTAGGGGCTGCAGGGACCTGGCGGCTACTTCCTGGAACCATGAGGAGCCAGGGCATGCAGGGAGCCTGGCACCCGCCTTAGGCTCGGGCCCCTGCTGTGCCACTGACCGCACTTTTAACGGCCCAGTCCACCAGGGTCCCTTTTCGACTGGGTGTTCCAGTCGAAAACAGGACGACTGGCAGTCCTAGCCCTGGGCATCGCAAGGGGCAGCGACCCAGCCAGGGGAGGGACAGGCCTGGCTGCTGGAAATGCCCGTGCCCAGCAGAGCCAGTGGGAGCCGCGGCCTGGCCCCCCCAGGGGGGAATGGTGAGAGCTGGACAGGACATGTAGGGGGCAGGGCCTGGCAGCCGGCACCAGTCTGGCCTTGGGGATTGGAGTCGTCTCTCCTGAGTCTGGGGCCTGCCCACTGCTGGTGAGGGCTGGGAGCCAGGACTCCTGGGGTCTATCCCAGCTCTGGGTGGGCAGTGGGGTCTCGTGTGTGTTTGGGAGGTTATAAGACAATGTCCCTTTGGTGGCACCTGCTCATCGCCCTCTGTGCTGTCACAGTGGCTGCCAGCCCTGCTACAACGAAGGTTAAGACCAGCTCCCCGTTCAAACCTCAGCTCTCCTAAGTGCTCTAAAATCCACACAGGTACTTGGCTTGTGTCAAGGTTCCTTCCCCACTTTGAACTCTAGGGTACAAATGTGGGGACCTGCATGAAAACCTCCTAAGCTTACTTTTACCAGTTTAGGTTAAAACTTCCCCAAGGTACAAACTATTTTACCCTTTGCCCTTGGTTTTCCACTGCCACCACCTAACGTTAATCTGGGTTCCTGAGAAAGCGTTGTTTGGAAAAGTCTTTCCCTCCAACCCTTGCACCCTACTTCTTGGGGGCGGTTTGGTAAAAATCCTCACCAATTTGTATAGGTGACCACATACTCAAGCCCTTGGATCTTAGATCAATGAAAAAAAGCATTCAGTTCTTGAACAGAAACATCTTAATAGAAGAAACAGTAAAAAGAAAAGGATCACCTCTGTAAGATCAGGATGGTAAATACCTTACAGGGTAATTAGATTCAAAACATAGAGAATCCCTCTAGGCAAAACCTTAAGTTACAAAAAGACACAGAGACAAGAATATTCATTCTATTCAGCACAACTTATTTTCTCAGCCATTTAAACGAACAGACTCTAAAGCATACCTAGCTAGATTACTTACTAAGTTCTAAGACTCCATTCCTGTTCTGTCCCCGGCAAAAGCTTCACCCAGACAGACACAGATCCTTTGATGTTCTCCCTTTTCCCAGCTTTTGAAAGTATCTTGTCTCCTCATTGGCATTTTGGTCAGGTGCCAGTGAGGTTATCCTAGCTTCTTAACCCTTTACAGGTGAAAGGGTTTTTTCCTCTGGCCAGGAGGGATTTAAAGGTGGTTAGCCTTCCCTTTATATTATGACAGCTTGCCAAGAAATTTGCTGTGGGCCCCGAGGGAGCGGGGGAAGCTGGGGTGACTGACCCAAACTTAGGGTCATTTGAGGAAGGGGTTCCCCATCCCTGAACAAAAGAGCCTGGCTGAAAGTGCCTGGATTGCCCAACTTGGTGCGGAGCTGGGTCTCAAATCCAGACCATGACCATCACCCCAGGGTCTTGGGGCCCCCCAAACCCACAGGGCAGGCCGCACACTAGCCCTTTGTGGGAACAAAACTGAGAATGGTACGAGACAGAGAGTTTGGCTCTCATGACAGGTAACGAACACACCTAACACTCATGCCCCAGACAGATCACACGGAACGTGCAGAGAGGTCTGAGCTAGCCAGCCCTGCCATGTGCTGGCTGGTCCCAGGAGCAGGCTGGGTTGGGCTGGCCTGGGCTGGCCTGGGCTGGCCTGAGCTGGCTGGGCCCAGGGGGATCCGGTGCAGGCTAGGCTGGGCTGGCTGGGCCCAGGGGGATCTGAGCCCAGGAGGGATCTGTCTCCACTGGCACAAGCTATGGGGGTCCTGCCAGGCCCCTCTGTGCCAGATCCTGTCCCATTCACCCTGCAGTGTCTCACGGTGCTCATGGGCTCAGGGCTTTGACACCCCCCAATCCCCTGGCCAGCCCAGATCTGGCCCAACAGGGCTGCCCACGACCCAGTCAGCCTGGACCGGCCCCCACCCAATCTGCACTGCCCATCCCCGCTGGCATGCTGGGTGTCCGTTGGTGGTTTGGCCGTTGCTGGATCCCTCCCTGTGGTCTGGGGCAGGCTGCTCTCCCTGGGACTGGGGGGAGGGTGGCAAAACCCTGCATGTACAGAGGAAGTTTCAAAACCTGGATGGGGCAACGGGCTAACGGGTGGTGACTCCATAGGCCGGTGGGATGTGCCAACGGCTGCTCGTTCCCCGCTGTTAACGGCAGAGCCCTGCTCCCACGTGGAGTGTCGTTGTGGTGTTGGGAGCGGGGCAGAGGAGGGAATGATGCCAGGTTAACAATGTGATGCAGTGGCAGGAAAGGCTGGTGTCCTCCTGGGGTGGATTACCAGAAGTGTTATATGCAAGACACGGGAAGGAATTGTCCTGCTCTACTCGGCATTGGTGAGGTCCCACTTGGGGTCCTGGGCCCAGTTCTGGGCACCAAACTTTAGGAAAGGTGTGGACAAACTGAAGATAGTCCAGAGGAGAGCAACACAAATGATCAAAGGGTTAGAAAACCTGACCTGTGAGGAAAGGTTAAAAACTGGGCAGGTTTAGTCCTGAGAAAAGAAGACTGAGGGGGAGCTGAGAACAGCTTTCAAATCTGTGCAGGGCTGTTCTGGAGGGGACAGAGATCCACCATTCTCTGTGTCCACTGAGGACAGGACAAGAAGTAATGGCCTGAGTCTGCAGCCAGGGAGATGTAGGTTGGATATTAGGGAAAAGTTTCTAATGCTCAGAGTGGTGAGCATCAATCCTTCTGCGGGGCCCTTCAGCCCTTTCTTCCTCTTTTAATCAACTACAGCCCATTCCGTTCCTCAACTCAGAGATAGAACCCAGGAGTCCTGACTCCCAGCCCGCAACTCTCCTCCCAGAGCTGGGCTAGAACCCAGGAGTCTTGACTCCATCTCCATCTCCCGCAATCAGAAACAGAATCCAGGAGTAGAGCTGGGTGAGTAATGAATTTTTTGGTTCCGAGCAATTGAAAACGATAGTAGAACCTCAGCGTTACGAATGCCAGAGTTACAAACTGACTGGTCAACCACACACCTCGTTTGGAACAGAAAGTATGCAATCAGCCAGCCTCAGAGACAAAAAACAAAAACAAATCCAGTGCTGTGCTAAATGTAAATGACTTAAAAAAAGGGAAAGTTTTAAAATTAGTATTTGACAAGGGTAAGAAATTATTTCTTTTAAATTAAGAGGGTTAAAAGCAATTAAGTTAATTTTAAATTGTTTCATTTAAATTAAGAGGGTTAAAAGCAACATTTTTCTTCTGCATAGTAAAGTTTCAAAGCTGTATTATGTCAACATTCAGTGATAAACTTTTGAAAGAACCACCAAACACTTTGTTCAGAGTTACGAACGTTGCAGAACTATGAACAACCCCTATTCCCGAAGGGTTTGTAACTCTGAGGCCCTACTGTGGTTTTGTCTTGGGTTGAACCAAACCCCATATTATTCCAAATTTTTGGCGAAATAAAAAGTCAAAAAATTCCACGTCACCTGGACAGAAAAGATTTCTGTTTGACCTGACTGGAAATGTTTTTTTTTCAGTTTGGGGCATTTGGACAAAGGCAGAGGCCTAAAGCCACAAAATGGCCGGTGGGGACGGGTTCCCTTGTAACTTTCAGCCCAGCAGTTAGA